TGACATATTTGAGCCCATTGTTGCAATCATTCTGTCAATCCATCTTGTGCTGGGTCTCTTTCTCTTTCACTGACTCTCCACCTTTCCAAACTTGATGTCTCTTTCCAAGGAATAAAGAACCCCTCCTAACAACATGCCTGAAGTAAGTGAGATGAAGTTTCACCATCTTGCCTCTAAGCTGGGAAATCCTATGGGTAATTTCTACTTTGCCCTGTAAGTGAGTAATGAGTCAGAAATGACTTGAGAACCACATATTTATAGGCCTGTATTATGATTACACAGCCAAATGCAGCAGCTCTGACAATGACCATGCAATGAGTTGTCAGGCATCTCTTTTTTCATACACTACCAATTGATCACACCTTCCAGGAACAGATAAAAACCCATTAACTATAATATCTATCTTTTTCAGTTTTTCTAATGTTTATCTTAATACATTTAAGTAAAATCATTAAAGTTTGAATTCTCAACGGCAAACTGCTTATGCTATCCAGTCTCCTTTAGTCTACTGTAGTAAGGATATCTCTCTTTCAGGTGCTTATTTAGGCTTAGACAAGGAATTAGTGTAAAAAAAATGTCCCTGTGAGGGTACCAAATGGAGGGGGAAAGCTTGATTTTATTAAGTGAAGTATTAAAAAATAGATTTTAGAAAATATTAAGACTGTAATATCTTCCTGAGACTGTTGTTGTGTGCCACTGAGTCAGAATTAACCCATAGCTGACCACCCTGGTGGGTTTTCAGAGGCAATTAATTAATCGCACAGAAGAAGACTGCCCATTCTTCTCCCATAGAGCAGCTGGTGGCCTCGAACTGAAGCTTCTTGCCAGTAGGCCACCAGAACTCCCTTAGAGCTTCTTTAGACTAGCTGACGGTTTTTACGGAGACGGGGTAATGATGGGCAAGGTCTAATGTTGATTAAGTTTATAAAACATAATGCATGTGAATGATTGTATGAAACATAATGTGAATGAAAAATAGTGTGAAGCACAATGTATATGAACTTTGTAAGCAAACATATAAGAAAAACCCACAATAAACTAATGACACCATTTTTTTGAAACATTCCTTTTATGGTATTTACAGGCTTGTCAAATTCTTTTTTTTTAAATCTAGAGATTTATAAGGAGGCATGTTGACATAGACTTTAAAGGGCTACTAAAAAAAGATGTTAATGAAGATTCCTAAATATACCATGGAATATCAAAAGACAAATCTGTGTCGGAGGAAACGCAATCAGAATATTTCTTAGAGGAAAAGATGACAAAACTTTGGTATATTTTCTTTTTCTCTCAGCATAATGCAAACAGGTACGCACAAATAAACTTACCTGATACTAAAGTCACCACTTAATTTCAATTATAGACAGCCAAGGAAGAAAAAAGCAAATAAAAACAGTCTTCACACTTAAGTCAGTCATTTTTTAATAAATTTGAATTCATTTATCAACAAGTTTCATATTTTATCTATCACTCAATTTTGCTGTTTTTTCATGTCAAATAATAACAAAAAATTACAGTGTGCTTACATAAAATTGGGTTTTAATTTTTCTTTACAGTGAAATGAAATCAACATGGGAATTGATCATGACAGTAAATATCTATTCCTATTAGAATAATCATATACTTACCTTGAATACATTCACTGACTTGTGGAATAAAAGTAGAAGACTCAGATAACAAGACACATCAATGAACTGGCTCTATGTGGAAGCATGATGTTGTGAGCCACTCTGTGGGAAATCATTGTTTGCGCAGATGTTGAGAATTAAGTAGTCAGAAAAAAAAAATGGCACCTTTCAATGCCGTAGAAGAGGTAATAAATCCACAAGGTACACTGATTAGTGTTCCCTGGAAAGTTTAATTCCCCTGGGAAGTTTTTTAGCTCAAGATTCAAAGTTACTCTGACTGATAACCCATACTAAGAGCCAGAGTTAATTCTAAAAGTATAAAAAAACATTTCACCAATTATTCAATCTTACTTACACAAAAAAGCCAGAAATATGAACTATTTTAAGGTGGGGAGAAAGAAATTATGAAATGGCTATGCTTTCAAGTCAGTAGATGCAAAATTGCACATACTGTCTTTTTAAACCATGCCACTGTGGGACAAATACTAATGAAGTTATCTATCAGAAGCAGAAAATGGACACCTACAGCTGAAATATGCCTGTCTCCTCAAAGCTAGTCTAAGAATTGTTTGGCATGATCTCTTAGGCTATTTTTGTGGTGAAAACATTTTGTTCATGATTTAAAAAGAAAGGCTTTTGCTGCATATGACTGAAGATATCAAAAGCCCTGGATGCTAGAACCAAAAGCATTGCAGATATATATGTAATTCAAACCCAAGGGGAATATCATAACGTACTTCCTAATTCATTTTGGATTTAGAGAAATAAAAGCCTCATGGTATAGACAATGAAACCCCACTACAGTGCTGGGGTCGATGAACAGGAATAACACTTGTTTTAAAGATTATGCAAGTCTTTTAAGTTTTTCTTTGTGTGCATTTATGTAGCATATGAGAATATGGGTAATAAAAACTATGTCCTACGTACGTATGAACCTTTCTGAAGCATTTTGGAAAGACAAGACTACTTAGAAAATTAACTTTTTATTACTTCCTGTGTTGATAATAAAATCTCATTATATTCCAAATTAAATCTTTCTCTCCTTACTCAAGTATTTCACATGTGGAAAACAGTCACTTCATCTTAATATCATTGTCAAGTTTCAGAACTTATCAGTATAGCTCATTGCCTGGCTAGAGTAACTACTGTGAAGTAATGAGAAGTTATTTGAACAGAACGTGGAACCAAATTTAATTTTCTGATTAGCATAGTCAGATACTCTGCTTCTCAATACTGCTCACAACTTATATAAATGGAGAAGCTAGAAAATAACATTACATGAAAAGTAATCTTCTCAAATTGAGTAAAACAAACACACACACTCAAGGATCTAAAAAAGGGGTTTTTTTTTGGTTTTTTTTTTCATACAGAATATGTGTGCATATTTTTTGTGTGTGCATGTGTGTGCCTGTATGTGTGTAGTTACAAACACTATTTATAGTATAGCTATTATGTTAATTTCATCGCAGTGTCTACAAAGTTGTGGATCCCAGTCTTGGTGCCAAATGCATATAAAAAGCTCAAAAGTTGTTATGATTAAACCATGCAAATTTATAACCAAAAAACCTTGGAAAGTAGAACTGTAGCTCTTCTGAGTCCCCATGGGCTCTTTGCCTTTAATATTTGGGTACCTCAACTACACATCAAAAAAGGTTTTTAGTCACTTTTCTTCCAAAAAAATAATCATTTTAGTTCTTACTTGTATAAACTTGGACAATAAGTTTTCTACTTTTTTCCATGTTCATTTGCATTTTGTAGTCCTTCTTTTGCAAGTGAAGCTCATACTTTGACTCACTGGATACAGAAAAGGATATCTGATGTATTGAAAGGGAAAAGGTCTTCACAAATGTCTGTTTTTCTTTAACATATTAACAATAATAAGGCCACGTACAAGGTTTCCCCCATTGGTTCAACTTTTAGGATCTCATGTTACCCAAGAGAAAAACGGCCTGAGAAAAGCCAAAGAACATCAAATCAATGGTTAGTATCCAGCAAAGAAATTAAATCAAGGTTAGAAAGACATGGAAAATATCAGATAGGAATCAAAGCAGGGAAAGGATACTGTGTGGATAATATTTAGCCTAATAGGTGTCTTAAATTATTAGACTTTTTACAAATAAAAGCTTATCATTATTACAAAAAACAAAATTAATGGTATTCTGGTCATGATGGCCATATACACCTGCATCTTTAAAAGAATAGCACCTGCCTAGTGTTTCTTCCTACATTCTGTAATTCGCTTTTGATAGAATAGAGGAGGTGTGATATATGGGACCTTTGGGGATAATATATAAATTTAGCAGTTCTTTCCTGCAAATGTAACCTTTTTCTCTCCAAATTTTTACATCACCATGGCACCTGTTTGCACAACTGTAGTCATTTCAGTCTCTGGATGCCTGTGGTAGAAATATTGTTTACAAAAAAATATATCATCTCTTTTTTGTCTCGTTAGAAAGATCTCATCTAAATAGTAGGTTAAAGTTGCATCTATGAAACCAGTGCACCTTGTCTTGTTTCTATGAGCTTTAAAAATACTGATGAGCTGTGGATCAGAAAGAATCAAACATGAGTTGTTTTCTTGGTTCTGTTTTGCCTCAGGGAGCATGATCATGGACAGTGGGTGATGAATTATGCACATTGGTCATGCTCTTATAGCATCCTAATTAGTCTAGGCAGAATTAGATGTGCTTATGGCATGATACAGACATAGAAATAAAGGCATGATGATGTTATTTGGTTTTGGAAACTGAATTAGACTAGGTTAGGTTAAGTAGCATCAAGAAGATGCCAGCTCATAGCATGTATGGAATAATGTAAATGTATTTGTTTCAATCTTAACTCTATCTAATAGAAAGTAATTCGGCCACATAAAGAAAACTATGACATTTCATGCTGCCATGAGAGCAAGCATAAGGGGGAAAAATCTTATTAAATATACATATGTGTATATTATGCAAATATATTTTCTAGTAACATATAATGTTATAAGAATGCTTCATAAAGTAAATGCAAGGGGGGGAAATCATCCTACATGATTTTATCTTAGAGTAACAAGTAACCTGAGACAGATTCCTATTCCATTAGATATTAGGCCTAGATATCCATATTATGAAGAGCACATTTCCTGTGACTGCAGTCATCTAAATATTGTTAAAATGTGCTACCATTTTCCCCAGATAAGAGGTAAATGGAACTCACTCCAAGTGAGCAAAAAAAAAACAAAAAACCCACACTGTATATTAAAGTAGTTAAAATGAGATGTCATTAACTCCTGATGAATTCTCATAAGGTGAATTTTCGAAAAGCAACATGAGATCTATCTATGTTTCAAACAAAAAAAGCCAATAGCTCACTTTATCTAATAAGTGATCACAGAAAACATATGCTTGATAAAAATAAACTACTTCACCAAAAAAAGCAAAAATTCTCTGCTTCGTAAATGGAAAGAGAGGATATAAAATTAATAACTAATTTTAAATCAGGAATAACATTGTATAAGCTTTTGGTGATAAAGAATTTCTGAATTTTAAACTAAAATATATAATTTATGATTAAAAAAGATACATTTTAAGATGATATTGTGTTTCTCACCCTCATTCCAAAGGCATTATATTTAGAGGATACTTGTCCCTTTCAGTTAAAAAAACAAACAAAAAATAAGACTTTCTTCAGTATGCATTCTGTCTTAAGTGTCCATAGCTGCAAAATGTATATATGTATGTGTATCTGTTTCACACAAATGGGAATTTACACCAGTGTGTATAAACGTATACACATACATCCTCATATTCAAGTGTATTTTATATATATGCTGAGAAAGTTCACACATATATACAAGTGTGTGTGTATGTGTGTATGTGTGTGTGTGTGTGTATGTGTGTGTGTCTGTACAGGTATAAAAACTTGACAGGCAGAGTAATATTTCACTCAGTGTTAAATGAAGTCTTTGAAAAATCAAGTACAGTCACTCAGTTAACATAGTACAGCCAGTAAACTAAGTTGAAAAGAGAAAAAGTGAACGGAAATACGATCCTGGACCATCTGTCTATTGCATTCACATCGGTTAGATCAGGGATTTTTATTTTGAGCTGTGAAGACCTCCTCCGTAGATGAGTCTTCTTGTGCGGGATGTTTCTGTCCCCCATGTGTCGCCCATGGCCTTCCCGAGGCATGCTTTGCTTCCTGTACTGGATTCCTGAGTTGTCAAAGGATATTGCTGAATTCCTCGTATCACCAACACTGCCTGTGATCTCGTTCATTTCATTATGAACCTCCAGAGATGTTAAGAGAATATTTCCATGAGCATCCACCTAATTGGAAGAAAGTAAATATTATTAGACAATTAACATGCCAATAAATTTGATTTTCATATCTAAACCCAGTGTAAAATTATGTCTAACAATTAGATGACATATATTATAAGAAATTGCACATTTAAAAAAGTAATTTTGGAGGTTAAAATGTAGTTCAGATATTTCACTCTCTTCATTTAAGAAATTTCATATAGGAGATCAGAAAAAAGACAACATTTCATATTTCATTTAGGTATTATGATTATAAGTCATTGCAATAGAAAAAGAAGTACAGATGTCTTTGAAGATTATAATTCAGGTGTTAAAATCCTTTTGTACAACTATGCACTGAACTGAGACTATTTTACTCTATTCATTCTTCTCTGGAAGTCAACTGTCCCCTCTTCTGAGGATATGAAATAATCAAATTATCATTAAGAAACTAAAAACACTGCTGTGATGTTGATGAGTGATGCAAGTCTGTAATCTAAGCCAGACAGCATATGAGAAAGATCTCTTAGGCTTTGGTAGTCCAAGCAAGAGAACTCCTTAAATTATACTATAGTTCCTTCCCCACAGTGCATTTGTCAGTTTATCTTACTTTGATGGCCAACATGTTACGAGGATGTTAGAACTATGCCACTGGCATTTCAAATAGAAAGCAGACCTGGCCATTTATTTCTGAAATAATGGGCCATTGACCATTTTATGAATGTTGTTGTTAGGTGCTGTTGAGTCGAGTAAACTCATAGAGACCCTATGAACAAAATCTCCAAATCTTCTTCTATCCTATGCCATCCTCACACTTCATGACATACAAGAGCCCATTGTGGCAGTTACCATGTCAGTCTACCTGGTTGAGGGTTTTCCACTCCTTCGCCAATCCTCCACCCTTCCTAGCATTATTTCCCCCTCCAAGGAATAGTCTCTCTTAGCAACATGTCCAAAGTATGTGAAGTGAAGCTTCATCATTCTTGCCTACAAGGACCACTCTGGCTGCACCCTTTCCAAGACATGTTGACTAATACCACAGAGTCAGAAGATGAAGTTGGATTGGAAAGGATGGCAGGGGAAGATTTGTCTCCTCAAAGTGGAGAATACCTTAAGATAATGACATGGAAAAATATTTTCATTAAATGAAAGACTAATTTGCTGATGTGGTATGACTCAAAATAAGAAATAAAACAGCTGTAAGCATCTATTAGTAGTTGTGACATGAATGCACAGTGCAAATCTGTGGAAACTAATAATTGTCAGATATGAAATGAGAAACCCACAGAGATAATTATCTTATATTTGCTGCTGTTGTTGTTGTTGTGTCCCATTGAGTAAGAACCAGCCCATAGCTGGCAATCCAGTGAGTTTTTAGAGGCAGTAAATCACAAGGGAGGAGACTACCCATCCTTCTTCCACAAAACAGCTGATGTATTGAAACCACATGTCTTTGCTATCGCAGTGAAGCTTCTTACCACTAGGTCACTAGAGCTCTCTATTCTAGACATTAATGATCAGAAATATACTGGTATCAGTCATTTTGAATCAGATAATCACAGAGGCTACTATGATAGGGATAATAAATTGGAAAGAAATGACACTGAATTAATTCTCAAAAAGAATATTTCAAGTTCTATCCTGAACCAATATACTGTCATTAATAGGATAATATCTATATGTAAAGAGAAATACCTGTTTATACAAATTTACACACTGTTAAAGCCAAAGGTTTTATTCCCATTTAAAAAAAAGGCGATTCAACAGAGTGTGGAAATTATCAAACAATATCATTAATATCACACACAAGCAAAATACTGTTGAAAATTATGAAGAAAAATTACTGGAATAATATATCAACTGAGAATTTCCAGAAATACAGTCTGCATTTAGAAAAGGCAGTGGCACTAGGGACATTGTTAACAATGTCAATTTGATCTTGGCTGAAAGCAAAGAACACAAAAAATAACTATTTTTATTTTATTACTGTGCAAAAGCATTTGACTGTGTGGATCACAACAAATTATGGCTAATATTGAGAAGAAAGGGAATCCCAGAACATTTGATTGTACTCGTGTGAAACCTACACTTCGACTAGGAAGCAGTCATCAAAACAGACCAAGGAAATACGGCATGGTTCAAAAATCAGGAAAGCAGTGCATCAAGGACATGTCCTTTCTCGATACCTTTTTAATTTATATATAGAAGAGATCATTTGGGAGGCTGTACTTTATGAGGAGGAATGTGGCATCAGGATTTGAGGAAGACTCATCAAAAATCTGCATTAAGCAGATCATACAACCTTGCTTGCCAGAACAAAAGAGGACCTGAAGCATTTGCTGCATAAGGTCAAGGACTGCGATCTTCAATATGAATTGCATCTCAACATCAAGAAAACGGATATTTTCACCATTGGAGCAATTGACAGAATCACAAGAGATGAAGAGATTGAAACTGTTAACAATTTCATCTTACTCGGATCCTCAATCAACTTTCCAGCAGTTGGGCACCAGAAGTCATGAACTCAAAAGAAGAATTGCACTGGGAAAGTCTTCAGTCAAGTATTTCTCCAGACTGAGACTGTTGAAGAGTAACAATGTAAGCCTGGAGACTAAGGTGCACCGGGTCCAAGCCATAGTCTTTGCAGTTACTTGCTATGCATCAGAAAGCTGAACAGTGACAAAGGATTATACACATAGAAGTGATGCCTTTGAGTTGTGGTGATGGAAAAGAGAATTGAACATGCAATGGGCTGATAAGGGAAAAAAACACGTCTATCCTAGAGATGGTGAAATCAGGTTGTTCCTTAGAGGCAAGGATTTTGAAACTCCATCTCCCTTACTTAGCATGTTGCCTGGAGGTACCAGTCCTTGGAGAAGGATGTTATGCTTGAAAGGGTGGAAGGTCAGCACAGGAGAGGAAGACCCTGAATGAGAGGATTAACATAGTAATTGAGGTAGTGTGGGTAGGTATGTTGGAGACAGTGAGATTAGTCCAGGATAGAGCAAGGTTCAAAGCTACTGTTCATAGTGTTGCTTTGAGTTGCAGTCAACTCAATGGCACATAACATCACCAACAACAAAATCAAAGGTAAAGAAATTGATAAAAGCTTCTACAATCTAAATCTGATCAAACATGAAATTAAGATTCATTAATAATCACTGGTGATTCAAATGCAAAAATCAGAAAATATTACTTTGGTGATAGAAGTGAGACTGGCAATCACATGATAGAATTTGTTTGACTAGTGACTTATTCATCCAGGAGGCTGGGCTCTGTGAGGAGGAATGTGGCATCAGGATTGGAGGATGACTCATCAACAATCTGTGTTATGCAGATGACACAACCCGCTTGCTGAAACTAAGGAGGACCTGAAGCGCTTGCTGAAGAAGGTCAAGGACTGCAGTCTTCAATATGGATTGAAGCTCAACGTCAAGAAAACAAATATTTACACCTCTGGGTCAATCAGCAGCATCAGGATGGATGTGAAGGGATTGAGACTGTGATGAGCTTGAGATTGTTAACAGCAGGAATGTAGCATCAGAAATGGAGGATGACTCATCAACAATCTACATTATGCAGATGACACAACCCTGCTTGCTGAAACTAAGGAGGACCTGAAGCGCTTGCTGCAGAAGGTCAAGAACTGCAGTCGTTAATATGAATTGAAGCTCACCATCAAGAAAACAAGGATTCTCACCACTGGGCCAATTGGCAACATCATGACAGATGGTGAAGAGATTGAGATTGTTTCTCCACAATCAACACTCTTGGTATCAGAAACCAGGAAATAAAAAGATTAATTGTATTGGCAAAGTCAACTGTCAAGGAACTCTGCAGGCTACTGAAGAGCAACTGTGTCAGTCTGGAAACTAAGGTGTTCCTGGTCCAGGCCGCCATAGGCTTCACAATTTATTGCTATGCATCAGGAACCTGGAAAATGACTAGGGATGAAAGAAAGAGAATTGATGCCTTTGAGCTGTGGTGCCGGAGAAAAGTGCCAACTATACCATGGACTGCCAGGAGAACATATAAGTTTGTACTAGAGAGGGTGAAAACAGGATGCTCCTTGGAGGCAAGGATTCTGAAGTTTTGTCTGACATACTTTGGACATGTTGCAAATAAGGACAAGTATTTGGAGAGGGACGTCATACTTGGAAAGGTGGAGGGACAGTGTAAGAGAGGAAGATGCTCAGTGAGATGGATTGATTCAGTTACTGGGGTAATGGGGGTAGGTGTGTCAGAGACAATAAGACTGGCACAGGATAGAGCAGGTTTCAGGGCTATTGTACATAAAGTTGCTATGAGTCTCAAGTGGCTCGGCACATAACAACAACAATAGCAAAATATGCATGCAAGAGCTTGAAAATGAAATGGAGAGATCAAGTAAGAACTAACATCTGAAATATGGTACTGCCGAAAATATCAAATTAATTAAATCTGTAATGGAGGATGTATAACCAGATTGTTCCCAAGAATCAGAGATGGAGGGGTTTTGTCTCATTCACTTTGGACACAACATCAGGAAAGATCAATTACTGAGAAAATCATGCTTAATTTCATAATTGTCTCATACTGTTGTTGTTGTTGTTGTTAGGTGCCCTCAAGTCAAGTAAGACTCATAATGACCCCATGAACCAAAGATCTGAAACCAGTCCTATTTTGCACCATTTTCATACTTCCTGACACAGAAGAACCCATTGCAGCAGTCACCTTGACCTGGTTGACCATCTTACTCTTCTTATGTCCCTTTCCAAGGAATCCTAGCAATATGGCCAAAGTATGTGAGGCAAAGCCTCATCATTCCTGTCTCCAAAAAGCACTTTGACTGCACCATCTCCAAGACATATCTATTTGTTTTCTTCAGCACCACATTCAAAGGCATCAATTCTTTTTCCGTCATCCTTATTCATTGTTCAGGTCTCAGACACATAGCTAATAAATGGAAAGACCATGGCCTGAACCAGAAGCCCTTAGTCCTCAAAATGACATTACTTACTCCTCCTCAATAATTTGGAAAAGTCCCT